AAATTCAAAAACAAACAAACAAACCATAAAATTTAATTTCTTACTTGAATTCCAACACCGTTAAATTCTCAACTACGGACAGATTGGGTTGAAACAAAGAAGAGAGCTGAAATATAATAAATATTTACTATTTAGCGGCTTAAAATTAGAAGGATATTAGAAACATCAGAGTGCTTAATTATTAATACTTAGAAATAGTACCGGTAATTATTAATTCGCGACTATATATGTCAAATTTCTGTATAAAACTTAAATCGAAGTTAGATTTTTTATAAAATATATCATTTATAAAACTTTTAAGTCCTAATTACACTTTAACAATATAAATACCGAAAAATATGGCGTCCAAAACAATATTTTTTTTCAAATCTGTATTTAATATATCTACTTAGAAATGAAAATATTTTTAGAATCTATTAGTAGGCAGCAGTAGCATAGGCGAATAACATTTCAGAGAAAACTGTCACGTGTCTGCTGGGCGTTGTTTATATATACTCGTATATATAGAATTATAGATAGATGAAAAATAAAACAAACGTATGGTGAATGAAGATGAGTGCATGAGGACTTTTGATAAACCTGGCGTTAGCATTCAAAATCAGTGTTTAAACTTGACAATCAAATAGAAAGAAAAAAAAAGGTGAATTAAAATACAACTTTTTCTTTTGACATAGACTCAGGGACTAAATTGGGAACGACATCAAAATGATTTATTATTAGATCATAGAGCAATGTTTCCCAGCCGGATTTGCCAGACGACCTCCGTGTCCAGGCTTTGGTCGTCGCCACCCCCATGATCTCTACAAGGTGATTCTTGCACCTCGAGGACTAAAAAAAATTTTGACTCAGGGCAGACAGCTTGTGACCCCCGTTTGAAAAACACTGTCCTAGAGCCTCTCCTTTGCAAATTAAATCCAAATAAGTTACCATAAAATATGAAGTAATAGTTAACAATTATAAATATCGTTTCATATATGAAAAAGTTTTGTTAGCTTAAATTAACTTATTTAACCCTTCGATTGCAGCTTGTGTAAGTCTGCCTACCACCCCATGCACAAATATTCGCGAAATTTGGCGGCGGGCCACTGAAAATGTAACGCGCAAAATGCTGGCATCATATGATGTTAACCATAGTAGCCTACCTTAACATCATACGATGTAAACCGCAGTTGAAGGATTAAAAAAGCACCTCTAATCAACAGTAACTTTATAAAACGTATTTGACTAATTTTCTACAAATGTCTGGATTTGACCCATGATTTAATATATTTCACATGTCTTTATAGTCAAAACAGATTGTGGACATCCTGGTTTTTTACTTACCGCAATATCTAGATGCAGCTTTAACTCACTTGACCTTACTGTGTTCAGTGAAAGCAGATCAAGGCTAACATGTATGGAGCCATTCATTTCCATGGACAGTAGTTTGAAGCTAATAACATATCGAACTCTTTCTGCGGGGTTAAAGAAAATGAAAAGTTAAATGAGTCAATAAATTATAGACAAAAAAAAAAAAAGAAATTTACTACGTCTTTAACTACGTTTATCAAATAATGACATAGCTCAAGGAGCAGTCAGATGCAAGGCTTGGTAATTAAAAGTTAAAAATTCTGTCTCTTAATTTAATACGTTTTTAACGATTTCAGATAATCAAGTGTATTTATAACCAAACGCCTGTTACAGTGATTGTTTGTAAAGGTTCCTTGAATTCAGCCAGACAGATATTGTAGGAATAAAAGGCTGATATGTTACCTTTTTGAACTTTCCAATGATGAACGTCAAATGTATTTTTGAGGTTAATCAAATTAGAACAATTATCCTTACTGTGGGAGGCAAAAGATAGAACTGAAATGCTATTTTTACACGCCACTGATTTTGAATCCAAAATGGACAAACTAAAAGGAATATGACAAAAATCATCTGTAGTTTTTATCACACATTTTAGGCCTTGTGTAGGGTCGGATTAAGGACGTGGGGGAGGGAGTCAAGTATTGTAGGGAAGCCCTCAGAACAGAACTTTATAACTAATTCAAATAGAATTCAATACTATTTTTATTAACTCCAGTTTGAACAGTGTGCTCACCATGGGTATCTAAAACCGATATTGAGAGTTATAAACCGCCAGACTTCCATTAGCTTTTAGCGTTCAAACCGTAACCTTATTCTTTCATCACAACAAGGATAAAACTTATTCATATGATCACATCAATTTGTTTTAATCAAAGTGCCAGAATTGAGGTATTCCATTTTAACAGATAACCGTGTTTCTATATCTTAATAAATAAGTCATTTTAGAGCTTAAATTACAAATATTTAGCATAAAATTTATAGTTTTCATTCGACAGTTGTGCTATAATTACAAATTCAAATTGTTTAGACAGATTTTAATACTGGATTTGAGATTAGCATAAGCAGCAGAACTAGATCTTAAAGCTTTGATATGTGAGTCAACAGCAGTGTGTAAATAGTATTCCTGATTGGGAGATATCACATGCACGTGACTTTAACTCAGCAGAACAGAAGGTTCGAAGGATTTGGTACTTAAGAGTGGCTTTGATGACTAAATGATGAAAGAACGATGCACAGACAGTTTAAGAAAAAACAAAAATAAACATTATTGAGCTCTAGAGTAACCCAGTCTAGAGAAAATGTCAATCCAATAACAAAAGTAGTTACTAAAACATAGGTATTAATTATCAATTGTACCTATGCAGACGTTTGTATATTTCCTTGTTTTTAATTCTTCCTACAGTTTTTGGTAAAACGACTTGACAATTTACATAAAGGTTTTGATCCCCACAGAATGTAAACGGGGAGTCAGAGAGGGTCCTCAAAATGGTGAATCAAGGGGGTTTAAGGGGTTCGATTTCACTGAACCGATTTACTTGAATATTAGTATTAAGATGTAAGGAGCCACTAAAAACAGTAATCTAAATTTAGATCTGGAAAATTTCCTTATTGGGGGAACACCATATGTGGATCAAATGGATCTTTTGAAGATCTAGAGACTGTATTGTATTTCATGAAAACTGGCATTAAGTTATAAAAGATCGTTGAAAATAAGTTTATATTTTTCAAAAGAACTCGTAATGGGGCCCCCAAATGATAGATAAAGGTTTGGTGGACTCTCAGTTTTGGGAATTCTGTCCTAATTTTTACAAAATGACTTAACATTCTGCATGTGTGCTATAATTTTCGAAAATAACTCGAGAGAGGCCCAAATTAGTGATTGGGAGGGGAGGGGGGGAGTACGGGTTTCACTTTAACCTATCTACATCAAATTCGGTATTAACAAATAGGGAAGTTTTCAAAATAACATTATTAATTCAAATTTTATAAATTTATAAACTAGAGTCTCATATGGAGGGCAAAGGGAATTTTTTAGGGCTCTTAGGATTAATTGCATTGATTGACATTAAATATTTTGTGCGTGTAAAGAATCGTTCTAAATAAGTATCACGTTTATATTTTTAAAGTTTCTTACTGGGTTTCCTAATGGGTACCAAAGGTTTATCGTTTGGTTCCCAGGACTGGCTACACAGATTTATTTGAAACGTTAACCAGAACATATATATAGCCGTTTAAAAATAAGAACAATTTTTTAATAGTCAATGTTTGTCGTGAATTTTTACGATTATTGTACTAGTAAAGGTGAAAACTATGAAAGAAGTATGTATTTTAAAATGACTTGAATAAACTGATCTCAAGTATTTTGACACAGCAGGAATAGCATGACAAAGGAAAGAACTGCGAGGACAAAGTAAAATAAACTATTACGGCTGTTGAGAGCTCTCAGTCCGACTGTTAACTTACAAAGACTAAGTGAGAACTCTACTTCAACAAATATAAAACGGACCGCGGTGTTACTGCTGCTATTTGAGCCAGCCAATCACAAGCTGGTAAACTGCCGTTAGCGACAGCTCTATCTTCCGATGTGACTGACAGATCAGGACCTCACAAGATCAAGTTATTCTCTTCATAATCTAACATACCAATGAGAAGACAGAACAGTCAAGGACTTTCTGTTTCCAAGTGTAAATCAGAAAATATATACAAAATTTTGTAACAAGTAATATTAAAAATTATAGAAAGATATAAATATACCACACAGGGTTAAGGTGTTAAGTTTAAACAGGATTCAGAGATGAGAGTTGAATTTAGATACTGACAGAATTATAACTTTAAACGTAGAAAGCTCAGGAGTTCTATAGATAAGACAAAGTCAACTATGAAATCCATATGAGCTTCTTTTATATTTTTATTCAACATACCAAAGGACATACTACGTGGCATATTCGTCCATTTTCATAACAACATCAGTAGCGAGAATTACGCTTAAACGATTCCAGTCGTTCAGATACAAGGCTGGATAAAACGAACTTTCCAATAGTGTCAAACAAACATTAAAGAAATTATTATTATTATTGAAGCTGTTTTTGCATAACCACAGAATATGTCTAATATTACAAATTGTTAAATTGTCCACCACAGTTATCAATGTAGGTGTGACGTTAAAGTCCTCACAAAACGTAGTACGAAATGCGACAGGACTAGTATTCTTAATATTTGTATGAAGGGGTTTCTCTATAGTCCACATTATGTATTAATTAAAACAAAAATAGTGTCTTTTAAATATAATTTAGTGTTATCTCGGAGCAATATATATTTTTAGTTTCTGACTGATTTCAAATATATTATAAAGAACATGCAAACAACTTTTTTTTTTCTAACTAACCATGAATAATTTTATTTACTAAAATGTTAATTGTGATAAAAATCCGAAAGTAAAGTAAATAACAGTCATGTAAGTAAACAGAAATGCAATTTTCTAAGCTCATAAACGGTCTTATGTAAACGTCTACTAAACTCATAAGTTGAAACAGCGCCAGATTGACGTATTTGTAATATCGATTCCATTCTAAATATCCTAGCGTCTCCGCAGTACCTCTACTATTAATATTGGAAATACATTCACGCAGAACAGCATGATTGCTATTGCACTGTAAAGAAAGAGGGTGAACTATGGTATAGCCAAGCAAGAGGGAAGCATGATAGATAGGAAGTACAAGGTAGAGGTATGCGAGGCTTTTCTCCGATCATTTAAAAAACAACTGTGACCCTACTGGAGTTTATTCTGGTCTCAAAACCTATTATATGTACACACAAGTGGAATTCTCAAAACGAGTATAAAATAACCACGTTAAAGAATTTTAATGTGGAGGTTTCATTAAAATTAGCAAAAATCAAATTACTTTTATATATTGAAGCGAGTAATTTACATATATCAACCCATCTTGTGTCGCAGATCATTTCATAATTATCTGAAATCAAAGGCGTTTGAATAATAGTCCAGTAGATATGTTAAATAACATGTAAGAATTGCTCCTTTAATGATAAAAGAATGTAATTTGGTATACAGATAATGACGGCCATAGCAGCCATTTTTCAAAATGACCACCAATCACTGCTAAACGACTCTGTGCATGACATATTTGTGTTGTTTTATGTGAATGAGATTGTTTCGTTTTTTTCATATTTCCCGCCCCCAGTGGCACAGCGGTATGTCTGCGGACTTACAACGCTAGAAACCGGGTTTCGATACCCGTGGTGGGCAGAGCACAGATAGCCCATTGTGTAGCTTTGTGCATAAATTCAAACAAACAATCCATATTGCTTCTTTAGTAAAGCATCCAATGATTAATCACATTGCCTGCCACTTAGGGTGTAGCAAATCTGCCATACGTGGATTTTATTGTACAAAATTCAGGCTGCTTACTTTACAGTTAATGACAAAATACTGTTGCGTCAACGAGGTCACGTGACTAGTGTCACGCCACTTCTTTCTCGAACCTTCGGGAGATTACTAGATTGAGGGTAGTCTGGTATATATATATATAAGAGGGTGACAACGTGACGGAACAATGTGTGTAGGTAGTGAGT